GTGTGTGTGTGTGTGTGTGTGTGTGTGTGTGTGTGTGTGTGTGTGTGTGTCTGCCCCTCACACGTAGCCACGGTTTCACACAGGTTTCACATAGCGGGCGCGTGCTTGTGTGCGCGCTCCCCCTGGCCATTGTGTTTTTAATGAACAAGGAGAGCACCGTGGCCAGCTCGGGGAACTGAGCCAGCTGATCGACCAGGGACCGCTACACCATGGCGGAGGAACAGGAGATAATGTGCAAGTTAGAGAATATCTTGGACATACGGTAAGACTTGGATGTGGGGTGAAATGAATGCCCTCCAGGTGTTAGACACGTCCCGAGTACATTATCATAGCTAACGTTAGCCGGGCCAAGAACGAGCCCCCGGGCTCCGCTTTGTTACTGTGCTAGCTAACACGAGCTAACATTGCTGCTTTTATGGGTTTCTGCTTGTTTTGTGTTCGCGTGTCGTCGTTGGGGTTGATGAGAATTTGCTACAGTTGAAATAATAGATGCGTCTGAGCTGAGGTGCGTGTTCGGATCATTCATCGACAATCCAGATGTGTATCTACAAAAAACGCCAGATGTGCGCTGCTAATCGTTGCTGTGGGTGAGCTAGCATCTTAGCTAGCAAGCTCAACGGTCTGTCATTGCCTCGCTTAGCAGCGGAGGCAGACTGGGGTTTGTTTACCCTGATGTCTCCTCTGCAACAACATGATAATAACTGATTAACAGAATATATTAATTCTCTGTTTGAGTAATTGGGCTTTGCGCTTTATGGATTAATGCAGAACATCTGTTACTGTTATACAAAATTTTCTGCAAAAAAAGTAGTGCATAACAGATGGAGAATAATGTGTGGTGGTTGAGATTTTGCTATTTTTGCAAAGAAAGCTGTCTCTCTTTATTTTGATTAATATTCATAACTGTGAGGGAGATAACCTGACAGCTGTTGTTGTTTGTCTGTGACTCCCGGCTGCAGGAACAAGACCATCCAGATGCAAAAGATCAAGTCCCGTCTGAAGGTCGAGTTTGAGGCTCTGGAGTCCGAGGAGAAGCATCTCAAAGAGTACAAGCAGGAGATGGATCTGCTTCTGCAAGAGAAAATGGCACATGTGGAGGAGCTGCGTCTCATCCATGCAGATATTAATGTGGTGAGTAAGATACAGAGGAAAGCAACCTCCGTAGAAGGAGTGAGACTGAAATCTCAGTCGAATTTAAAAACTAGCAAAGCTCAGCAATGACATTGACAATAGTAATAAGTAAATATTATATATTGTGGATGTAATTTCAGTGCTTGTATTATTACCATTACCACTGTCTAGGCCAACACAAATAGCTTTTCTTGAGTATATGATGCTATGTATTTCTGGTCCTTTCAGATGGAGAGCACCATCAAGCAGTCAGAGAATGACCTGAATAAGCTGCTAGAAACAACTCGCCGCCTGCATGATGAGTACAAACCTCTGAAGGAGCACGTCGATGCCCTCAGGATGACCTTAGGCCTACACAGACTCCCTAACCTCAACGAAGAAGAGGAGAAGCTCTCCCTGGAGTAAGTATACACACGTACACTAGAATACAGATTCAGAAAACCCATGCATGTCACACTTAAAGGGATTTTTCACAGAAAAATTATAAACTTCAGTCATTATCTACTCACCACTATGCCGATGGATGGATGGGTGAAGTGTTCTTGTCAGGGTTTCAGGGGGAAACAACATTGCAGCCAAATCCAATACAAGTGAAGTTAATGGTGACTGATTCTTCAAACGTAAAAAAACTGAAAATGTCTCTATAATGCTCCTGTGTTGTCATCCAAGTGTCCGTTAGCCACAACATTAGAATTTGACTCGAAACGGCTTCATTTACACCTAAACAGGGTTACCTCTGCCAGTGTTTACTGAGCCGCTTTCTCTACTGCTCAGGAGAGAGGGGGAACCTTATACGCCTAAGCTTAGACAATATTTTTTTCTGAAACTTGGGTCTTACAGAGTACCGGTTGTCTTATATTACAATACAATCCTGTGATCATTGATCACAAAGGATATTCTTTTTAAATGGAGAGGGTACCACTGTGACTTGAGTGCTTTTCAGAGTGTTGTATTGTGGGTTATTTGTAGCTTCATTATGTTACAAGGCTAGTGCCTGTTTTCAAGTCTTGCAGGTATTTCTGAAGGCTGGTGGATCATGCTCTGCTGCCACAGTGGAAATAAATTCATGAGTGTTGAAAATGAGTTCTTAGTATCTTGCACGCAGCTACAGTA